CCTCGCTGGATTTCAGAGCCCAGGCTCCGATCCAAACGGGAATGTCTCCACTGCTGGTTTTTCCTTGTAGCATGTATCCAAGTCAGTTAACCCAGGCTCAGAGACTTATTGATATGGTGGGTTTTTTACAGCGCAGACATATTCTCGGGGTACAAAGCCATATAATTTAGAGTACTTCTTCCTGGAGAATCCAGCCCATAAAGAGTAAGGCAGAAGAGAAGATAGCATAACAGCAAGCCCAAATAGGCCAAAAAGACAAGCCCTGAGGTAGATGGGAGCTCCCTTTCAGATGCTGGCTGTTACATTCACTGGGGTTCAGCAAACTGACCTATGGTGGCTGCTGCTTTGGGAGCATGGGATGAGAGGGGGATGTGTTTGCAGCCCACGGTTATATTAAGAGCAGCCCCGAGAGATGCTAGGATGTTTTTTGCATTTATTAATCATTTAAAAAAAATAATGCTGATCCTCCAGCTAAATGTGTTAGCTTCATTCTCAGCTGTTGTCCGTTGGCTGCCTTGAGGAGGATTGCTGTCTTCCCATGAGGATGGTAGGGTAGGGCCTGCGCTGAGGAGGCAGCCAGCCACGACTCTAACCAAACAAGGGCAAAGACGTCTTTGCCTGGCACCCTGGGTCTGATCCTGCATGGTGCTGAGCACTTTCAAATCCCACTACGGGGGCAATTAGGGGTCTAACCCTTACCCTGGGTTGGACCCTCTGCAGGCCACAATCCTAACTCTAGTCCAGGACCCCAGTCAGCTCTAGGCCTGCCCAGGGCCCAAAGCTGGCCCTGTCCTAGCCTGGTGCCTGTGCATTGCCCAAAATAGCATTGCCACTTTTCTCCTCATACAGAACCAGACCCCTTTGTCGCACCCACAGCCCATCCCCCCTCACCCAGGCCCCACCCTTTAACCAAGCCCTGCCCCCACTCACTCCACCCCACTGCCCCCCACTTGCTCCCTCATTTTCACCAGGCTGGCTCAGGGGGTGAAGGCTCCAGCTGGGGGTGCAGGCTCTGGGTTGGGGGCAGGGATGAGGGGTTTGGGGCACAAGAGAGGAGTTCTGGACTTGGGGAGGAGCCGAGAGTCCCAGAGTATGGGGGGGAGACAGGGGGTTGGAGCGTAGGAGAAGGCACCGGCTTTGGGCTGGGGCCTGGTGGAGAGGGAGGGCCTGGGCCCCCATACCCTGATACCCCTAGTGGAGAGCCATGTGGATGCAATATCAACTCAGCCACTAGGCCATATTTACTCCTGGGCAGGGGCAGTAAAGGTGCGGCTGCTGGGCCACGCTTATCCTCAGCCAGGGGGCAGCACAGACTTGACTCTGAGGCCACTGTTACCCCCCAAACAGGGTGATACAGACTTGGCCGCTGGCCATATTTCCCCTCCCAAAGGGGGTGCGGAGCGTGTGACCCTGTGACAGGCACTTAGTCAGCCCTGGCAGTTGATTCTAAGCACTGCGCACCAGAGGGCAGGGAGTGAGAGTCTTTGCATGCTCCCCCAGTCCCACTCCCAGCCCAATCAGGGTCTGGGGATGGGAGGGAAGTGAGCGAAATCTCCTCCCGCCCTGCTGTTATGCTTAAACAAAGCACAGGAGATCTTTTATAGGGGAAAAGGCAGTACGCCGCATTTATTGAGAATACAACTGTAGCATATGCTTTTCAGTCACTCACTTGCACACAAACACCATACACACAGGCTGCGTCTAGATTGGCATGATTTTCCGGAAAAGCTTTTAATGGAAAAGTTTTCCGTTAAAAGCATTTTCGGAAAGA